GAACTTTAGCCATCCTATCATCTTCTCTTTGTCGTTGCATGTTGGCAAACTCCATAATTTTCCTATTTTCTTCTTCCATCTCTTTCTGTTTCCTTTTCTGTTCCTAATGTATTTAAGCTTTAATTTCAACCAGGAAGACCAGTGACGGTTTTGAATACCCTTATGGCCCCATTTATACCTTTATTTATCTTGTTTAGGAGAATATACCAGTAGCTTTCAAGTTTAGATTTAAACTCTAAGCAGTTTAATTTAATTTAATTTAACTGCTTTTCTTCTGCATGTGTATTTCCTATGGGCCTGGCCACACTCCATCTTACCTTGCTGTGGGTGACAAACAAAATGTGACATAGGTTGTGATACCAAACACTGCTGGTTTTAGATTTAGTTCAGGATGACTGTCATGATGATTCCCTTCATCATAGTGGGGAAAAAAATCCCCTTTAGTTTTGGACTTAATTTTGAGAATCTTGTGACATTTGCTGATTAATACTGGAGAGCACTGTCAGATATGCAATGTTTGCTCCAGTTAGTTATGCTAGAAGTTAAGAGCTGCAGTAAATTTATTCCAAGATAAATCAAGTAGGTTGGCTGCTGCTGCTGTGAATTTTTCAAAGTATATTCAGTAATACCGCATTTTACTGAATTTTCTCTATAGGCAGAAATTGAAAAGAGAATAAGGCAGCGCCTAGACTTAAGGCAAGCCTATGAAGAGCAATTTGCTGTAAAGGCAGCAGCACAACAAGCCATGAGAGAAGAGGAGGAAGCTCTCCGGCAGCGGATTTTGGCCAAGCTGGCTGAGGATGATCGCATTGAGCAGCTGAATGCGCAGAAACGGAGAATGAAACAGCTTGAACACAAAACGGCCGTGGAAAAAATTCTTGAGGACCGTCGCAGACAGTGTATTGCAGAAAAAGTAAGAGTTTCATATGCACCTTTGGTTTGAGCAGAGTTTTTAATATGGGAATACTTGTGCTATCCTAAGGAACAATGCTGGCGTTGCTAGGGAAAGGTGGTGAGAATTGCAGAGAATAGCAGGGGGAACCAGGACTTCGTTTTGGAAAAACAGGAAAAAGTATTTTTAGAGCTAACTTTTCGTAGCTCAAGAGGTTGGGGTTAACAACATCCCTGCCAACCCTGTGTAGCTGTGTATTGCAAATACCTCTTCAGGAGCCAAGAGAACAGCAACACAACTGCTGTCCAGTTCCACATCCCTGGTCAGCTGCACTGATGTGTGAGGAGAGGAAGGCCTAGCCTTGCTTTGAGGTTAAGTCTCTTTTATTGAGATCTGAGGAAGAAAAGGTGTAAGCTGAAAGCACGACATTGAATCCCATACTGCTGTTTTCAGACCTGTGTAATGTGAATGGCAATTTCCAGTCATCAATGTGAGAATTCTTACCTATCGCTCCTTTGCCTGGATTAGCAGTAGGGCAGGAACAGACTAACTTGTCTGAGAGCCAAAAAGCCACCAGAACTGAACACTGCCTGCCTTCAAAAGGGCTTCTGACACCGAACACTTGGCTAGCAGACTCACCCCATGATTTGCCATTCAGTTTTCTCTTTTGTCTGAGATTGTTTTCCAGTTGCCAGACAGGTGTTGTTTAAGCAATGCTTTGTGGAGTTTTACACTTTCCATCCTTTCCAACAAAATTTCCTGTGACCAGAAATTAGTAGTGGAAGTGGAAATTCAAAATTTATTCCACCAAAATTTTTTCTTTTTATGCTGTTGTGGAGAGTGGCAGAAACAAATGTTCACAGACCTGAAACAGAATTTAGGAAAACTTATTTATTGTAGGAACGTGAACTTGAAGAAAGAGATTTAGAGAAGAGAAGACAAGAAAGTATCCGTGCAATTATTGAAGAAGAGAGACAGAAACTCTTGAAAGAGCATGCATGGAAATTGTTGGGTTATCTTCCTCGAGTAAGTGAATGCTATTTTAAATATTTTTAATGTCTGTCCTGTAAACT